ATATCCCACAACATACATGACAGCCACTACAAAGAATGTCTGGCCATATGTAGAATTATGGAGAAATCATGATACACATGCATGCTTTAAAGAAATGTAGATCTGGGCCGGCCAAATAGCTCAGCAGATTAAATCTTCTGCAAGCAAGCACAGGGGCCAGGAGTTTGATCCCTGGGCCTGCTTTGTCAGTCCTGCCCCTGGGGTGCTCTGAGACAGCAATTGAGACTGGGCGTGGTGGTGCAAGCCTGTAATCCCAGCTCTTGGGAGGCTGTAAACAGGCAGATCACTGTGAGTCCAATCTAGTGGTGAGACTCTGAATACCGTGTAGACCCTTCCCTAAAATACAGGGAAAAAAATGAAGTGTTGCTCAATTCTAAAGAGATGTAGATCTGATGTAGATGTAGATCTGTTTTCTTAGATTGTCCACTGAGTTAAGAAATACTAGCAAGTGGTCAAAATCATGGGTTCCAGAGTGGCCCAGACCCAGCTCTGTTTTTCTCACAGAAACGTGATTTATAACCATTCATTGAACCTCTCCTTAAGCCTCAATTTTCTTTTTTATAAAATGAGAATAATAAAAAATTCTCAATAAAATTATGGAAAAAATAAAATCAGAATAATAGATTCAAATATACAAGCAAGGTTTGCTTTAGATGCCTCCTGCATCTAAAAGGTTTAAAATAATAACTACACAGAGTAGATGTTCATTTAGTAATTATTACCATCAATACTTGTGGTACCTTTAATCATCTTAGAACTCTTATTATGGGTGCAATCTAGCACAATAATTACATATTCTTAATTCTCAAGACAGCGAGAGTTGGTCATACTGGGATCCTTTCCTAAGTCAGTGCATCTGAGCCAGGCTTCTTGGCACCTGAGTAGTAAAGAATAGTACTTGCATCACCGGTTTGTCAGAAGAGTGCATGGAAAAATTTTTGCAGAATTTCCCTGTATTGGATCTTGAGACAAGAATACAAGCATCTATTCTTCAAGCCCAGTTCTCTGCCTGTGATATAGCCAGAGCAGGCTGATAAAGTTTCAACCATCCTAGCACATGGGAAAGATTGGAACATCACTGCAGTTTTGTTTTCTTTGAGAGCTTTGAAGAAGTTGCTATTTGTCTCAACTCTCTTCTTTCTTTTTTTAACTTTTTTTTTATCTCTATGGGAATTTCCCTTACTTCTTCCTGTTGATAATGGGTAGAGTAGGTTATGCATGATACCAAAGACAGGGACTATAGTTGTGGTTTATTTGGTTAGGATTCTTATGGGAGCGAGGTGGAGAAAATAAAAGAGATTAATTTTTTTCTTAAAAAATGCAAGCATGATCCAGACTGCATGAGATAAGTATGCTAAAAGTAGTGAATAATTTCCTTAAGCAATTAAATTCACTTATAGAAGTTTAGTTGAGAGTCCTTAGTTTTATGCCTTAATATTTGCTCGAATGTAATATTAACAGAAAAAAATAAAATATAAAAACTTATTTTCATGTCAACACTATTCCAAGGCAAAAGATAACATGATTATATGGGATATTTGATAAGTTTAGTTAGGAGCTCCTCATTGAATCAACTTTATTTAGGTCAAGACTAGATAAAGACAAACAAGTACAGGTGGAGTACTTAGTGGGGAGATAATTTGGCTTCCTCCTCTAGCTTTCCTTCTTGCTCTACTAGCCCTCTCCTCACAACTTCTTGTCTCCATGCTACTTATATATACCTCTACATTTCATATAATGTTCCCTTGCAAAAACCATCTGTGTCATATTGTCCTCTCTCATTTGGAAGTCTTTTCTTTGGGGACAGTCATTATCATTTGTATAGAAGACAGATGAGTTAATGAATGCTGAACATTGAAGAATTCAGAACTTGAACTATTAGGCTCCAACTCTGACCTTAACTATCAGAGCAAACCCTACCATATGTGGAAGTATCTTTTCTTAATAGATGCTAGACAAATGGTTCCTTGTCCTCTTTGGGCATTGTAATATTTATCTGTAAATGGAAAGGGTTGGACAGGTTGACCTCTAAAGACCCTTCCATCTCTAAGTTCTGTGATTATATTCTAAATGTTAGGACAACATGGTATTCATGAGCATTGCCATTAATGAAATTACCCATCATTTATCTTATGAAGGAAAAGAACACACTATGAGGAGCAGGACAGGCACACTTGAAAGTGAGAGTGTGTGGATTTTTATTGCATCTGCAACTCTCGAGTGATGCTTGTGATAAATGAGAATGTCTTGGAAAAAAATCCCCAGCTGCCCTGGGGTGATGGAATCTGCTATTTTCTTCTGGACTACACTAAAGCAAACATCTCCTTCTTGAATGTGATTCTGCATGCTTGAGACTTATAATGTAGCTGAAGATAAAAGTTTCTGCTTAATAGCAGTTGATAAGCAAAACATCATCTTTTCACCTCTTGTCTCTTGTCTACTTCTTCAGCCTGACCTTGACCCATACTTCAGAGAGAAGGCTTTCAAGAGGTTGCAAGTGAGCTTTCACCCAGATTTCATTCCTTCCAACTCTTCCAGTCTTTATCTTTTTCTTCCTGTCAGAGGGGATATGTTGTCCTGCCTAGGCTATGCCCCGCAAAGCTGACTGCTACCTCTTGTTTCCTGTTAGCAGCACCAGCAGCTTGATCCAACTCTTCTGTTTCCTTTTTCCTCTTTAAAAACCTCACATCAGTTTCTAGCCATCCTAAAAGATGTGTTAATTTATGCTTATCATTTCTATAGTACGTTACTAGAGCACTTTCTCTAATTGTGGAGAGTACTTAAAGATGTGTTTGTTTGTTTGTTTTTTCAGTTACAGGGATTGACCACACAGCCTTGCATGAACTAAGCAAGTGCTCTGCCACTGAGCAACACCCGCAGTACTTTTCCTTTTTTCTTTCTTGCGTTAAACTTCCAGTCCTCCTGCTTCAGCCTTCCAAGTAGCTGGGATTATGTTTTTACCACCAAGGCCATGCTAAACAATGTTTAGTGACAAGATTCAGTATGGTCATCTTCTTTAAATCTTATGAGGAGACAGAACCAATTAGTTTCTCCAGCTATGCTTCACCCCACTTACCAGGACTAAACCATGAGGGTTGTTTTTGCTTCACCCTGTCTCATAGAGCCTTAATCTTATTCTTTTATGTGCCTTACTCAAAATTGGATAACAGAGAAGAGGGTTTTTTTTTTCCTATTTAACCTTTCCTGTAAATCTCATTTTCAGACTTGCTCCAAATTAGAGTAAAGGTTAAGTGAAATAGGAAAAGAGGGAGGGAAAGAGGCAGAGAGGGGAATATGCAGCTCTGTTGAGGCTTCCACTTCCACAGTTTGCTTCTCCAAGTCTGCACCCTATTTCCCTGCCATGTCTGTTTCATCCTAGAGTGAACATGGGTTCTTAGGGGTGTACACTCAGTGCTACATAGCCAGCACCCAGCCAGCAGTGCAGTGCTGTGCATGACCCAAGGGCATTGGCCCACAGCTATCCCATCTTGGTTCTTAGGGGAGGATTTCCCTCGCCATCTGCCACTGCTTTAGTCTAAGCTCATTGACCTATCTGTGGGGTTTCTCTCCCAAGGCCTTAGATTGTTCATGCTATGTATCCTCTTCTCATGTCTTAGGAAAGGTTTTTGAAATTGTTTTTTATTTCATCGCATTCTGTTGTTAATTTGAAGGTGAATCCCAGACATTTTTTAACCACAAAAACTACTTCCTCTCCCAGCTTACTGTTGTATAACTGTCATCAAAAGGAAGGAGCAATGTGAGTTGGCTAGAAAGACCAAAAGACCAAGGGTCTTTTGACCTAATCTTGGGTCAGTTTTTCCTGACTTGCTTTTGTGACCTGGGTCAGTTACAATACTTCCCTGCTTATGTTTTCTTTTGAAATCATGGTTCAACTTACCTTATTAGGTTTTATGAGAATCACTAGAGATAGTTTATGAAAGAATTCTTTGGAAAGATCAATCATTGCACACACCTACAATCAATTTGGTTCAGTGTACTAACAGCAGTAGCAGCAGCATGGGCACATTCCACATGATATCTATACCTCGCAGAACTTTCCACCTGAGAGGGAAAATCATAATCTAGCTCTGAAATATCTTTCCTTTGCCCAGTGGAGAGATGTTCTCTATGTTCTTCTGGGAAGAGATGACATCCTGCTTTATTAGCTACTGCTCTAGACCCCAGCTTATAAGGGGGTGTGGCTGAAGATAACTCTTGCCTCAGTGTGCTGGAGACTAACACCTGGACTGACTATGCACACACAGTGCTTATCACACACAGTTGATAAGCAAAAGAAGATCTTTATGTGCTTTTGGTAAGCAGTGTTCCTTCCAGAAGAAGTTGGCTAATCAGCCAGAGACACCCTGGGAAAGCTTTGAAATTTCATTTCTCAAGCTTTTCTTCCAGAAGATCTTAGGGTACATCAGTGTTTCATTACACACCACTATGTTCTTTTGCAGCTAGCGACTAGGAACTTCCTACTTTTGATAAAGGAAATTACATGAGAATTTTTTTGGAGCACTCAACAGAGCTAGTAATGATTGTAGGATACACATTACTACTGTCAAACATTCAATATTTAAGCATATTTTTTATGCCTGAAAATGAAAATCAAAAGATATGACTATCTACTTTGGCTTCTAAACATCCCTCCCTTGAATTAACAGCCCCTGCCATGGCAAATAGCAAAATCAGGCTAGATTAGTATTCTCAACAGAGACTTAGGTAAGAGGCATTGTACAAATTTCTAAATTATTATAGCTCAAGACTCAAAGGTCTTAAAAAAATACTCTCATACAAATCACTATTGTTAGTAGTTGTAGCTGTTTGATAAGCTCCAGAACCTTTTTCTGGCATGGAAAATAAATCATGCATAATAGCTGATAGCTGAGGTGGGTTTTTTTTTTTTCATTTTTATACTTGAACTTTTCCTTACAACAGTGACATATCATCACCCTGCTTAATTCTGTTTAATAGTGTTTTTCTTTCCTCTCCCTTAGGACGGTCGTCTGCGAATGAATGACCAGCTGATTGCAGTTAACGGGGAATCTCTTCTGGGAAAGTCTAACCATGAAGCTATGGAAACACTTAGAAGATCAATGTCTATGGAGGGAAACATACGAGGGATGATCCAGTTGGTGATTCTGAGGAGACTAGAGAGACCAATAGAGGTGATTCAAATTTTCACATTCCTCAACAAACTTCTCAGGTTGCCACCCGAACATGCATATGCTCACCACCAGTGTGATAGCTTGCCTCTCAGTGATTCTGCAGTTGGGAGAAATGGCCTCAGATGGCTGTGGTGTATTCATGTGTGGAACAAGTGGTTGTGCAGTTTAGGCATAACTACATGGTGTAAACATGTGCATATAAATTAAGTCATATATCAACTATAACAGAGTCTTAGTTTCTAGACATCTTCCTCCAGAAATTTCTAGAGCTCTGGAATTTGTTATAAACAACTGAGAAAGTCCCTAATCAGATGTACAGTGTCAGGGTCTAAAATGGAAATCACTGTAATACAACCAGCTATATTCTCCCCTATAAACTATATAGGTAATTCAGACTTGAGATTTGACTAATTGAAAATATCATTCAGTAAGCAAGCTGCTTGCTTCATGTTATTAAGTAAAAGGAAGTCTTCTTTTCTAAAATCTTCCATCAAGAGCTCTTTATTGATGTTTTAATATCTGAAATACTTTCATGTATGTGATGTGTAAGCCTAAATTATTCTTGATTGCTAACTTTCCTGAACATGTTTATATAAAACTATAAATGTAAAATTCCTAAAACGTTATGCTTTCTAATTATTAAATATTCTTATTATTTTAGGAAAAAATATACAAAAGTAATAGTATAAAAGTTAAGAAAAATACAAATCACACAAAATCATATGAAAATGTTTTTCTTATAATAGATAAAATTATGTTGTGTACAAGGGTAATATAGAAGCTAAAATAGAATCCTATTAAAAAGTGATAGAAAATGTTATTTTTAATAATTCAATTTAAATTCTGAAAAATGAAGATATTATTATATTAAACAATAGCAGACAGCTGGGGAGCTCCTTGAATGTAAAAGCTTAAGCCCTGATTCAACCCAGAGTGCAGGCCCAGCATGTGAGTGAGACGACCCGGGGCCCGCCAGACCCTCATTCACCCCAGAGCCCAGGCCCAACGTGCAACCTGCAGCAGAACTTCCTGCAAAAAGTCGAGAGGCAAGACCCACCCAGCCTCAGGAACAGAACATCTTTCCTGAGTGGCACAGAGGGTTCACCTCCAAGGGCTGCAGCAGGAAGAAGTGGAGCACAGCAGCCAGACTTCAGCCACACCCACTCGGAGGAGTTTGAACTTGGCAGATCCAGACCTGATGCTAAGGTAATAACTCTGTCTAAGCTCTACACCAAAGATCAGAAGACAGTGGTATACAAAATGACAAAGAGAAGGAACAAAATGCAGTCTCAGGCCCCACGCACACCCAGAACAATGCAGAAGACACTAGCATAGAAGAAAGTGGAAATCACACACCTGAAATTTCTGAAATAATAGCATCTGAAGTAAAGAAACAACTGCAGAAAGGTATAGAGGAAATCAGATCAAAAATAATTTCTCAAGTAAAAAAAGAAATGATAACTATAATGAAAGAAGTACTAAGTGCTTCTAAAGAAGACACTGATAGAAAAACTAGAGCAGAATATAAAAATGATGGAATCCTTGAATAAGCAACATAGGAAAGAAATAGAATGCATGAAGCAGATCCAAAGTGATGTACAGGAATTTAAAACCTCAATCACAAGCTGGCAAAACCGTTTGAGGGAAAGTGAAAATAGACTTTCTGACCTGAAAGACACCATTGCAGCTAGTGAAAAAGTAAGAAAAGATCTCTTTAAAACAACTAGGATGCAGGAAAAAATAATTCAATGCCTGCAAGATGATGCAAAGATGAATAACATGACACTAATAGGCATCAATGAGAAGGAAGGAGTCAATACAAATGATATAAAAAGAATACGGATGGGGCCTGGCCCTAGCTCAGTCCTTTAAGTGGCTGCTTCCACAATGCTGTCAGCCTCAGGTTGCTGTAGTTCGATCCTCACAACACTCCAGCCGGCCAAAAGTGCCCTGAAGGCATTCGAGGAGCCAAAAAAAAAAGAATATGGATGAAAGTAACAACAGAAAACTTCCCAAATATCGGGAAACTCTCTGACATTCAAGTAAATAGAACTCCAAATTACATCAATATAACTCTAATAACTCCAATTAAAACCACACTCAGACATATAATAATCAAGATCCCAGAAATTCAGCACAGGAACAGTATACTAAAAGCCACTAAAGAAGCAGATCATATTTAAAGGAAAATCCATCAGGATAACGGCAGATTTTTCTTCACAAACCATCACATCAAGGCAAGAAGAGCATGGAGCAAAGTACTTCAAGTCTTGCAAGAAAACAAATTGCAACCCAGATTGGTATACCCTGCAAAACTCTCTTTGAAGTATAATGGAAAAGTGAAATACTTCCATGACAAAGAACAACTTAAGAATTTCATGATGACGGAGCCTAACCTACACAGACTACTAAAAGATGTTCTAGAGAGGGAGCAAAATGACCACAACTCCTTGAATGAGAAGGGAAAGAACCCACCAAATAGGGCAAACAATTGAACACAGGAGAATAAGAGGTATACAAAAGCAGTCTTTCAGTTATTCTTTTGAATACAGCAGCAAGATATTTCCATCAGCATACTCTACAAATGGATTTCTCCTGCACCCTATGGGTCATGATTCTGTCTGGGTCTACAGGGTGGATATCAAGGAAATAGCAGTAGCTCAGTCCCACAAGTGACACCTGGCCACCAGTAGTGTTATGTACATTATCCATGTCCAATACACACTAGAACTTTGTGCAATATCGTATCCCCAAACTGTTAGAAGTGCTGGTCATTTATTTGTCATTCCAGTATTTATCTTATGTTTTATTCTTAGTAATTCTTTACTATCATGTAAACTTTTTCTTAGTTCAATTGTTTTGAAACATTTAATTTTTTATTAATTAGTATTAGTATTAGAATTAATTAGTATTAGAAATTTTAAAAAGTATATTTCCATTTTTCATTGACTTTATATTCTTTCCTATTTTTTATACACACACACATACATATATGAAAAAATATGACATAAGATTGATACTGTTTCATAGAAACCTTTAATGACCTTTCAAATGGGTTCATAATAATATACTATGTAATATATCTTACATAGTAAAATATATGTATTACATTTTACATACTCCTTCATAACTATCATTTTGAGAGCTCTTTATTCTTCATCCAGGAGCATACAGCAACTTCTCTTGCCTTCTGAATTATGTTCTTTGTTATTTTCTATACTCTACATCTGGAAGTATTAGAATATTTCGAGTTTCTATAACTGGAAAATATTTTACTTTTAGTTTTCAAAGATATATTTGCTAAGTATGAAATTCAAAGAAGGCAGATCTGTTTGTTCCTTTCTTTCAGTTCTTTAATTAGTCTAGTTTCTTACACACTTGGTCTTTTTTTTTCTTTCTAATGTGGAATAAGATGCTATTCAATTTGTTCTTCCATAGCTAATTTTTTATGTATATGCCTTCATGATTTTTTTCTTTACAATAAGTTTTGGACAATTTCATTTTTGTGTATCTGGATATGATTTTATTCAAATTTCTTGTGCAAAAGGTTCATTTTTCTTGGAAATGTGGTGTTATAAGTTGAACTAAATTCAGAAATTTTAAATCTTTAAATATTTATTGCCTACATCTTTCTACTTTGAGAATTCTAATTATATGAATATAAGTTTCTTGATTTTGACACAGTGAACTCTTATATGACTGATATGTAAATTCTTCTTCATTTTTATTTTGGACAATTTTTATTGTTATATTCATTTAAGTTTGTAAATAATTTATTTACAATGTGCAATCTATTAGTAATCTCATGCAATGTATTCATCTCAGAAATATTTCTCTGAAAATCACTCTGTCTATATCTTATATCTTTCACATTTCAGTATTTGTCCACAATTTTTAATATGATATATAATTATTGATTTTCAGTAAAGTTAATGAAAGAAAAAAGCTTAAGCCCTGAAGTTTTGGCTTTCTTGGGCTAAAGTCCTGGGGTCGCCGTTTATTGGCTATATGACTCCATGTACACCTGAGTGTTTAGTATTGTAGAAAACGAATACTGTTATCTATTTAATCCATTCATTTTGCAGAACATAGGAGGTAAATAATAAAAACTGTTGAATGAATGCAAAAGTTGTATCTAGAACCTATTTCAACAGAAAAAGTAGGTTTAGGATATTAAAATTGTAAGCCATACCCCAGTATGTTATGTTATCAGTTATTGGAAAGGTATAACTTTACCTTTGATACTTTTCTGTACATAACCTTGTGGATGTTAAATAAATGTAAATTGGCCAATTACTGGAGACTATATATAATGAAGAAGCTCGTTTTCAACATTTGCGTCTGCCTAAGTGACAGAATCTTCCATGAATATTTAATGGGCTTTACTTATTACAGAGTGAGAGTGCCCTTATCTACCGTATTCTGCCACGGAAGAAGTGGCTCCATCTGGTATAATTTGGTTCTTCCTCTAGAGACCTAAGGAACCCAGCTCATGGAGAGGTGTAAAGGCAGCACGGAGCCCACCAGCACGCGTTCTGCATATATAAACATCAGAGATGTCCTGAGATCACTTTTAACAAAAATATGGAGATAAATGGGAAAATCTCATCTGTTCTAGAGCACCCTGCTTAAGCAGAAAACAAAAGATGAAGGAAGGAAGGAAGGAAGGAAGGAAGGAAGGAAGGAAGGAAGGAAGGAAGGAAGGACTTAGAAAAAAAGAAACTTAGCTTCTGAAAGAACTAGGTGCAGCCCCAACACTCCTCACCCTTAATTTCACACCTCTCTCTAAAATTTATGTGATAGTGAAAAACTGGGCTGCATTTTAGCTTATGCAATTGGGACACTGGCATTTGTAGATATTTTCATCTTAATTCACACAGTCTGGAGTGGATTGACATTCTAACAAAAGAAAGTATTAATCTTCAGTCTGTGGCCCATCCTAAGAAGTGTCTTGTTAATACAGTTCTCCAGGGAACTGATCCAGAATAAGAAGTGGGGCAAAAAGCAATTTTTATTAGGACATTTAAACAAGATCCATTTTCTCTACATAATATTTACATATTTTCCGTGGAGACCAATCAGACACTTGACTCTCAACTATTGAGTCTCTGTGCTACCCATAAAGATTAAAGAACAATATTTTTTATAATGACAGCAGCCTAATATACAGCTTATTTTTTAATAAATTTTAAAAAACAAAACCCTCTTCTATTATATCTCCTAAACCTGTGTTTCACTGTGTCAAAGCATATGTTGTACACTCACGATTTTTATTTATTTTCCTGTGCAGCAGCAGTTGCCCTCCAGTGCAGTAAAAAACCCATCCATAACCTAGAAACAGGTCTCAGCACCACTCAGACAATCAGCTCAATCAATTAGCCAGATTTGGCAGGAATGCCAAAGTGATTGTCTGAACACTGTATTGATATTTAAAAAATTAAAGAAGCTATTTAAGAAATGTCAAAATATAAAGTTGCTGGCTCCCCCAGCATTACCAAGTTGTACAAGATACACAAACAGTTTTTATGAGAACCTCGTGAAGAATACATAATGAGCCCTTGATTGAATCAAAATCATTTTAAACAGAAACATGTTTTTCAGAGGATGAGCTTGAAGTTCAATTGTAATTCTATTTGAGCCTAGAGACTTGGTATTAAAAAATGGGTTATGACCTGGTTTTGTTTTTCCCTTCCCCAAAACATTTTCCTCTCTGCTGCCAGCTCATCTTGCTAGAAGCAGAATAAGTTTAAAAATCCATTATATTTTTTATTGGCTAGGACACTAATGGAAGGCTCCACGACAACTCTATTTTACAGGCTGAATACTTTAATTAGGCTGGTTACTGATCAGTTGTTGGGATATCGATTGTGTCATTTATCAAAGAGCTGGGAAAGCAGAAAACATTTTTGTTCTTGTTGTTATTGGTAAATGAAAACACAAGGCTATGCGAGGCAAATCCTACTTCTTTTGCTTGCTAGAAGCTCAACTTTAACCTAGGAATAGCTTGCTGCTCCTGGCTTTGTTTGACTAGCAATATAAGGCAAAAAGTCATACTTTGGGTGGAGTATGCAAAGTATGCAAAGCCTGTATTTCCAGCAGCTGAAAACATTTTAATTATTACAAATGCATAAAGTAAATGTTTTAAATATTTTGTTTCAGTGAACACTGAATTTTTATAACTAATAAAATATAACCTGGGATTGGTTAATATGTGTTTATAATCCCAAGCACTCCAAGAGGCTGAGGCAGGAGAACAGCAAGTTCAAGCCCAACATGGACAACTTAGGAACTTAGGGAGACCACTGTGTCAAAAATTAAGTACTGAAGAAAAAAAAAATATATATATATACACATATATATCCAAATCCTGTCCCAGAAGAGCTTTAAGGATCAGATCTGTGTTCTTATCTGTGACATGTTCCTCTCACAAATGGTCAAGGGAACACTATGACATAGCTTCCAAATTATTTACTTCATTGAAATCTGTCAGGGAGACAAATACTACAAACCAGAGCAACACCGACTTCTTTGTGCCACCATCCTCTTAAAAAAGCAGCTCGAGTTCTCTGAGGCTGACTGCCTTCTGGTGCTCTACAGCACCTGTGGAAAGACGGCTTGTGGGGTGTTATTCTGGATATAGCAGTTTGAGGAAAACTGTGAATTTGTTTACAGACTGTCAGAATACAAATAGGCTAGAGAAGTGAGGTTGAGAAATAAAGAAATCTCAGAAGAACCACTCTCTGGCATGGGCACTGCAGCACTCTGCAGCTCTCGGCCAAAGACCTGGTGGTGTCTGCAGTGGGACACACACGTGGCGTTTCATCAGCAGAGCCTGACTTGTCCTCGAGCATATGCATGTGTCTGAGGACAGCGAGAGGGAGCGGGAGAGGGGGACCAGCTGGTTGGCAGAGAAACACCATTGGCATGAACTGTATTCTTATATTGACACTGCCACAAGCTGTACTCCCAGATGGGAAAGAAAAACAAAAAAAAAAAAATGGTAGAAGCCAGTTGTAAGTGCAGGGAAAGAATAATAAAGTTAACCCTCCTTTGTGTTGGCTATCAGCACTCCTAATCCTTAACACCACATTGTCTGTGTTTCTTTATTCCATATTCATAGATGTTTGAACTGATAGGGTCATTTTGATTTTCCACTGTTGAAGCCTTATATGCTAGAGATTCTTGAAAGACTATTCGTAAATTGACCATTCTTTTTATCTGCTTCAGTTGATCAAGTTAGAACATACTTAAAAAGCAAATGTAATTTTTATTTTTATCCCTCAGGAGATTGCTGAATGTGGGGCATTTTCCAAGCCGTGCTTTGAGAACTGTCAAAATGTTCTAACCACCTCCAGCCGAAATGAGACTAGTACATTGCATTCCTTTGACAATTACAGTCCACAAGATAAACAGAAAGGTAAGTCTATCCATTTTCATCCACTGCAGATGGAGTGAGAAAACACAAAAGTGCCTCTTTATTTAAAAAAAGGAAAAAGAGGAGTTAATTAGACTAAGTGCAGACTTTGTTACTCAGAGTCATGAACGCTGAGAAGTGGGTGGGAGAGCTGACTCAGAACTTGTGAATCAGATTCCTGGCAAGGCCTCCAGCGTAAGTGACAGCTTCTGTGCTTGGTGCCCCAAACATGGAGGATTATGTATAAAACAAATCCATGGTGGAGGATCAAAGATAGCAAACTGCTAATTTCTGTAACATCCCCTTTATATTGAAATTATCAAGTAACTCTAAGAAAATTCTTTAGATTTCTGTTATATCATATATGGTCATAACAATGCTCACAGATCTATGCTTCATTCCAAGATATGTGGTAAATTGTTAAATGCCATCACCTGAAGGAAGGGTGGCAGTTGGAATGGCCTTGTTACTGTCTCAGTCCAACTTCTCTTTCTGTGTGGTATGGATCACATTTCTAATAGAGCTCTACATATAAAACACCTAGGATTTTCTTCTTTTTTTTTTTTTTCAAAAGCTATAGTTCAGGTCACCAAGAAAATCATTTCATCATCCTGTATCACTTTTCTTTAATAACTTTCATTTTCATATTCCCAAAGCAATACATATTCATGGTAGAAAATTTAGAGGAAAGCAATAAAAAGAAAATGTAATATTACTCATACTTCTATCTAAAAAGATCCTAATCAATAATATTTTATGTGCATCTTTCAAGTCTCTTCATCATGCAAATATGTGTATATAAAATGAAAGTAAAAGAAATAATGCAGTGTTTGAAAAATTACTTTTTAATTAATAGCAGATTCCAAGCTTCTTCCTATGTCCTTGCATATTTTATAGCATCACATTTACTCTCTGTTGAATGGAAGTACTGCGTACTCAATAATCAAAGGATATATTTTATTTTTTAATTAATTTTATTGAGAAAGAAATAGCAAAAAGATAGTTTCTTTCTTTTTTTTTTTTTTTGTATTTTAGGGAAGGGTCTATAGGGTGTTCAGGGTCTCACTAATACATCAGACTTGTCCTGATCCACCTGTTTACAGCCTCTCAAGAGCTGGGATTATAGGCACATACCACCACACCCAGTCTCCATCACTGTCTCAGGGCACCCCAAGACAACAGCCCAACAGGCCCAAGAATTAAATGCCTGGCCCCTGCCCCAGCTTGCAGGTGCTTTAATCTGCTGAGTTATTTGGCTAACCAGACTTTTTTTTTTAATTGAGACAGTTTCAAACATCACTTCAGAATGGTCCTTCATTTATATCCCCCTTTTTGTAGGACAGTTACAATAATTAATATATTGCATGTTATTGTCCTCATAGTAGTTATTCATAGTACAAGATGCAGATGTGATATCCTATCCAAACACTATTAGTAAAAATCTTTCTTCTCATTGAACTAGGAGAAAGTAGCTGTAAATCTATCCTAGTTTGTATATACAGATATAGATATAGACATATATAGATATATATATTCACTTCAGAATGGTCCTTCATTTATATCCCCCTTTTTGTTTAGTTTTGTCAGAGATGGGTATTCCATTGCCATTCAAATATTTTAGGTTCGTGAATTCAGCAAAATAATCCAATAGAGTCCATTAGACCATTATAGTAGTAGGTTATCCACAGAACTGCCAATGTCAGAAGTTGTTGACTTGAGCCTTTTATAGCTCAGCATATAGCTCATTTTTATACTTTTCTGCTGGATGTTTAAGACCAAGACAAAGTAAGACCTATATGACAAGAAATATAACTTTTGTATCTGACAAGGTCAAATCCCCTCAGGATTTACCCTGAAAGCCTGTACAACAGTTTGTAGGTCTTTTGTCAGGGTCAGTCATGTGGATGAGTCACGGCCATTGCTTGACCAATTTACTCTCTATGAAAGCCTAAGATAGTGTTTCTCTCTAGGTGACTCTCCTTAGGCACAATCTACATCGTCAATCACTTTCCTCTGTGGCCCCATAATGTCCTTGATCAGAAAATTTGGGACACCACTGAGTTACAGGATGCTACAGTACAGGTTCTCTTATGTCCTGAGTCCTCACTGATGAAAGGATATATTTTAGACACTAAAATGTTGTCAGTTAAATACATAGGAATGAGTTCCAAACTGCAATTGCCCTGTCAGAATGGACTTGTACATTTGACTGAGGTTGCTCTAGAATTAGATTGTTTCTTTTTAATGGCGTGTTGATTTTTTTTCCTCTGAATTCCTCCATTTTAGTAAATATAGTTATAACAGTTGTTATTATTTGTTTACTATTGGACACTATGTTGAGCAATTGACACAGACAAAGTGAGTAATATTATGAATCACATTTTACAGATGAAGAATTAGTCAGGGAGAGTTCAATAATTGATCCCATTGGGGCTTTGCACATGAAGCCCCAATTCACTTTCTTTCTCTGTGACTTTGAGACATCTACTAAACCACAGCCCTGAGTCTCACTGACCCAGTGAAACTATTCAAGTTCTTCTACAAGATGCTAAGAATGCCCATTTGAAAGTGACTTTACTTTGTGTCATAAAGAAGTCATGTGTCTTTGTTCCCTTAAAGAAAGTAAATATCTTCTTGAGGAAGCAATATTTTCTTCTAAGACCTTAAAACTCAATAGAATCAGGGTGGAACAGCAGGGTTTCTATAAAATGGGACAGCCCTTCTGATTCTATGCCCATGATGAGATCGTGAACACTGATATATGTATTAAAATGTCTTCCTTTTACGTATGACATACATATGTATTAAAATGTCTCATAATGTGATTAACACTTGACCCTCTATGATCCAGTGACCAAAGTTAGGGTTTCACTGGTGACTCCCAAAGAAACATCAATGTGTTACCACCATCTTCATTTATTTCTACTCCCTGTAATATATAGATGCTGAGGTGAGAGTCATTAAACGTTTTAGAGGACATTGATATACTCGACAAAATTAGGTATCTCTTAAAAAAAATAGTAATGGCTAAAGTCATGAAACTAGTGAAAGTGTAAAAATATACCCAGAACTGGGCACAAGTGGCTTTTGACAGCCACCAGGAAGTGTTTCTATTTTTCTTCCCCCTGAGATGTAGATCCAGGTAGCACAATTTCCATATCACTGAAAAAGAAAAAATGAGCTACTCAAAATGTTTCTACCTTATTTCCTCCCCACTTCGGTTTTCGAAGTTAACAATAAAATTCTAATATAGTTTATGAAAAGTAGAAAGATACCAATTATTATTTCCTTATGGATCTGTGATGCAGTACTAGTTTATAAGAATTAGGCATATCAACCAAATCTTGGAAACAACCAAGATGCCCATCACCTGAGGAATGGATGAAAAGATGTGGTATTTTTATACAATGTAGTATTACTCAGCTATAAAGAATGATAAACTCGAAGTCTTTATATTGAAATGGATGCCATCTGAAGTTATACTCATAAGTGAAATAAGCCAGACACACATGTGTAAATATCGTATAGTTTCCCTAGTATAAGAAATCAAGAGAAGAAATGCAAATAGAAAGGTATAATACAAGTAAAAGGAAAGCAAGAACTTGAGGACTAACTAATTAACAGAGGGAAAGGAGAAGAGCTAGGAAACATGACAGGGGCAAGCCATACAGTTTTATGTAGAAGATGGGCAAGGCAATGGTCCTGAGAATCTTCAGAAGATTTTTTTATTTAGCAGTAAGTTGGAAAGATTCTCACCCTGACTAACTATATATACTGACACCTGTGAACTAAGCTACTGCACTGCAGATAGCAATTTGTAATAGTAGTTTCATGCTTGGAGTGCCAGTCATTCTGGTCTTCTGAATACGGGCTACTTATCATGACATGCCACTTGCTGCTGTACTGTCTCTCAGGTAGATGACTGTTGAAAATGAAGGGGGTGGTGAATGAAGGCAAGAGACAGGAAAAGGAATGTTGTGGGACTGTCCTGCTTCAAGGTTGTATATGGTGAGATTTTTGGACTTATGTGAAAACATGAAAAGTATATAATTCTTTATGCCTATTTTTAAAATATATTCTAATTTTGAAATGTTTTTTCATAATATTCTGTAGGGACTTAAAGTTCAACATATCAATACTTGATGAAAAATACCTGTTCCATGTTATGCCTAAGACGTTTTATATTCAGACAGATAGTGAGGCTAAGTTTAAGAGCCTAGGTTGTATGGTAATAACAATAAGCTTCTCTTCTGGAGGATTAACAACCTAATTTTGCAGACCAAAATTAGAGAAAAAGGAGGGCCTCAAGGAAAGCCAACATTTTGGCCCTAGTCTTCTAAGGTGAATTAAGACTCAGGACATATGAGAACTTGTACTGTAACATCATGTAACTCAGTAGTGTCCCAAATTTTCTGATCAAGGAGATTATGGGGCCAAAGAGGAAAGTGATCAATGATGTAGAGTGTGCCTAAGGAGAGTCACATGGAGAGAAAACATTCTCTCGGGCTTTCACAGAGAGCACATTGCCAAGCAATGGCTGTGATTCATTCACATGGCTGACACTGATGAAGGATCTACAATCTGAGGTACAGAATCTCAGGATAAATCCTGAGGGGATTTCACTCACCTTATCAGACCCAAAAGCTAGAACTCTTGTTGCATAGTTCTTTTACCTTGGTCTTAACCATCCAGCAAAAAAGTATAAAAACGAAGTATAAGAAGTAAAGCCATGCTGTTATGTTGAGCTGTAGGGAACTCAGGTCAACAATTTCTGACATTGCCAATCAAGCAGAAGACCAAATACTGTTATGGACTACTGGACTCTTTTAGAACATTTTGCTGAGTTAACACACCTATAATATTCAACTAACGGAACTAAACAAAAAAAGCGGATACAGATGAAAGTCAATTTTGTATCTGTGTATTCAAAGTGGTTAGGATAGATATATAGTTACATTCTCTTAATGAATAGAGGGATTTATTCTAATAGTATTTGTAAATAG